CACATTAGCCATCCTCCTCCTCCCAACCCCCATCTCCCGGCACCGTGCCATCGGCATAGAAATATGGGGTACCTCCTATCGTAAAAATACTCCTGGTCTGTGTGGCTTAGCTGGTTGGGCGTCACCCTGCTAAGTGAAAGGTCGCTGGTTCGATTCCCGATCAGGGCACATGCGTGGGTTGTGGGTTCAGTCCTTGGTCAGGGCGTGTGTGAGAGGCAGCCAATTGATGTTTCTCTTTTCTCTCTTTCTCTCTCCATTCCCCTCTCTCTAAAAATAAATAAAATCTTTTAAAAAAATCTAAAGACCCTCTCTTAACGGCACTTTCCCCTCTATTCACTTTACCCAACAAACTCTGCAGGGAGTGGCTGTCTCCAACATGTCTCCTTCCATGGGCTCTTCAAGCCTTTGTCCGGTGTCACATCCTCAGTGAGACCTCCCCTGACCATTGTATCTAAAACGCACCCCTCCTACCCAGCTTCCCCTTCTCCATGGTGCTCACCTCATTCTAATGCATGCTGTGAGGCATGTGTCTATTTTGTTTACATCCCTTTCCCGGGATGAAGTCCAAATAGGACAAAAAAAAAAAAAGTCTGGCCCTGCCCTGGCGGGTGTGGCTCAGTGGATTGAGAGCTGCACTGCAAATCAGGGGTCACGGGTTCGATTCCCAGTCAGGGCACATGTCTGGGTTGTGGGCCAGGTCCCCAGTAGGAGGCGCTCAAGAGTCAACCACACATTAGTATTTCTTTCCCTCTCTTTCTCCCTCCATTCCCCTCTCTAAAATAAATAGAATCTTTTTTTAAAAGTCTGTCTATTTTGTTCACAGTCACATCCTCAGCTCCTGGAAAAGAGCCCAGGGAGTCTTGTTCGGTGAGGGAATGAATGCGTGTGAGGGCAAGGGCTGGAACAGTGAGGAAGTCAGTGTGGCCAGCAGCGGGGGGGCCGGGGGCAGGCGGGGTGAGAAGAGACTACGGGGCAGAGGTAGCGAGAGGCCTGATCACAGAGGGTCAAGGGGAGGGTCTTAGTCCGACGGGACTCCTGAAGCAGAAGGACCGAGGGTTTGGAGCTGCGGACGTACGTGATCTCACTGATGTTACTGGGATTCTGGGCACAAGCCAAAAAAGGCACATTTCGTGAGCGTGTTCCCAGGCGGGCAGTGTCTACACCGGCGTTCTTGGGAAAATAGACTCAAAGACTAAAGGAAAGCCGTGCATTCACCATGGGTCCTGTCACTCAGTTCGAGCCACAGGGTGTGAGCCTGGCCCAGGGGGCAGCTTCACAGGTAAAATAGAAATCAGAACATTTTTCACTGAACACAACAAAACAAAATGTTATCAGCAAACCCTTAACACCATCCATGCTCTGCCTACTGATTGATAAAACATTGAGCTTGTCATTGTTTTGCTTTGTTAAACAACTGGTGTTATTTAAAAGCACATACTTTGTGATATTAATCAACCGATGTTTCCAAACACATGGAACAGAGAAAACTGCTCTATAATACGTATTAAATAACCATGGCTGCCATTCTGACTCTTTATTATTTTTAAAATTAGTATTATTAATTTTTTACTTTTTAAAGGAGAAAAGAGGGACAAAGAGAGGGAGCGAAACATTGATGTGAGTCAGAAACATCGATCAGTTGCCTCCTTGTAAGTGCCCTGAGAACTGGGAATGGAACCAGTGACCTTTCAATCTGCGGGACAACGCCCTACCAGCTGAGCCACGCCCGTCAACGCGCGGCTGCCATTCTAAATGTTGGGCACAGAATTGGAAAGCATCCCTGTCCTTAAGAATTAAGTAGCCCTGGCTGGTGTTGCTCAGTGGATTGAGCACCGGCCTGCAAACCGAAAGGCTGACAGTTCGATTCCCAGTCAGGGCTCATGCCTGGGTTGCGGGCCAGGGCCCCAGTAGGGGGAGCATGTGAGAGGCAACCTATCCATGTTTCTCTCAGACACGGATGTTTCTCTCCCTCTCTGTCTCCCTCCCTTCTTCTCTCTCTAAAAATAAATAAAATCTTTGGGGGGAAAAAAGAATTAAATACAGCAGTAAAACATCCAGTGGCCGCCTGGCCTTTCCCGACTTCACTAAGGACCCTTTCACAGAGCTATACTATGTGCTTTGACATTATGGGATCCCGTTTTTGTAAGCGGTCTGGAAAGCTACAAGGTGCTCCCTGGACTGAGTGGGCATGCCCATCTGGGGCAGGAAATACGTGGTTCAGGTGTGTGTGTGTGTCTATTGGTGGAGATGGTGCCGCTGCTTCTAGAGCGGAGTGGGAGTGGGGTGTATAGGCCATAGCTTCTGGGCACTCCAGGCAAGCCTACATGGGGGTGGGGGGCAGGTGGGGACAAAAAACTATAGGCCTCAGCAGCTGGTCCCCTAGAATGAAAGGAGAAGAGCGATTCGAAAGACGCCCCGGCTGGGGTCTGTGGCACCTGCGCTGGTTCCCAGCTGTCGGCTCTGAACACCCAGGAAGCTGGCCCTGGGCTTTTAGACGTTGCACAGGGGTGGCCTCGTGTCCCCAGTGCTTTGTCAGCCATGTCCCCAAAGCTCGAGGGTCAGGCAAAGTGGGTCGCAGCTTTCCACTCTGATAGATGTCCTCACGCCTGGGTGCACCCAGGGTCACTGTCGCAGTGCTCTGAGAAGCATGGGACTTGGGGCTGAAGAACGCTGGTTCCCGAGGGTGGGTCCTGAGCCAGCCGCACCAGCATCGCCTGGAAACTTGTTGGAGATGCGGATTCTGAGGCCCCAGCTGGACAGAGCTGCTGAGTCAGAAACTCCAGGGGTAGGTCCCAGCAACCAGCATTCCCATGCGCTTCCTGAGGACTTCGGATGCAGTTGGGAACTGCTCAGCCAGGCCAGTTCCCGGTGCTGCTGCTGCTGCTGCTGGTTCCACTGCTCTAGAAATTTCACAAGCAAATGATTCAGTTTATGAGTCATCTTGTTATTAATCACCAAGTATCACTGCATGCCTAAGGGTCTACTAATGTTGTAATAACGATTACCTCTGAATAAGGGGGTTATGGGCAACTTTTAAAAAGTTTATGTAGCTCTATTGTTCAGAGTTGTTATCGTAAACGTATTACTTTTGTAGATTAAAAAATTAAAAGATTTTAAAAGTAAAAACACCTTATTCTAGTATACTTGTTATAGCAGCGATTCTCAAATTTTATTGTGCAAATAAACCTCTAGGAGGGGGTGACTTTGGCAGAGATGGGAAGGATGAACCACTGAGAAGTTCAAGGCCAGGTTCTTGGCGTACACTAGGAAGCTAGAACATAGGGTGGGAAGGCCTCCCAGATCAGTTCCAGGGAGCCAGTTCAGGAGGGCTGTGATAGGGGACGAGCTTTAATAGAAGTCCAGGGTCCGCCTGGAGGCTGTGGATGACAAGCGAGCTCCATAGGAAGAAACCTTACAGGGTGATCTGGTCATACACTCTCAACCAGGCAGGTCATGGTGGGTAGCCACGCACCATGCACATAACTTCCTTAGTAAATGCCTTGTCTCTGCCTTACCTAAGCCCTGTCCACAGCTTCTGTGCATCCTGGTGAACACACTTTTGAGATGTCTCTTTTCAAACCCCTCCTTCTAGTACGTGACCACCCATTTCAGAGCAGACTCCTCCCAAAGCAGTACCATCCTCAAGAGAGCACGTAATCTTTTTTTCACTTTTTAAAAAGATTTTATTTATTTATTTTTAGAGAGGGAAGGGAATGGGGCGGGGGGGTTATGGCCTGCAACCCAGGCATGTACCCTGGCTGGGAATCGAACCTGCGACACTTTGGTTCACAGCCCGAGCTCAATCCACTGAGCTATGCCAGCCAGGGGAGAGCACGTACTCTTAACTGTCCTGGAATCCCATCCCCACCGAGGTCTCTCTCCTCCGAGAAGGCTTCTGTAGGTTCTCTCCTTAATTCCAAATGCATAAAAGAAGTTGCAAACCGTCACTTCCCTGGAAACATTTATCTCAGTCTGTGCAAGTCCTGCTTCCGGGCACATCCTGTGTGTGGCGCACATCAGTACTTATAAACATTGTCTACAGGTTTGGACGTTCTTAGCTGACAAGGGTTCAAGCGGGGAAGTGACAGGTCTGGTACTTTTACGATCGCTCTGGCTGCTGTGTGGGAGATAAAGCCGCCCCTCACCTCGGAGCTGGTGCAGGGAGCCCCGCGCCGCGCAGGGGCGCTCTGGAGCCCGCCCGCGACCCCGCCCCGGAGCCCCAAGTCGTGCGGGCTACTTAGGAGTTGGGAACGTCCGTAAGAATAACAAGCCGCCAGGGGACGCGTTCTTATTGCCGCTCTGAGGACTTGAAACCCGAGCTCCAGGAACAACATGACTTTCTCCCCCTTTCACAGGACTTGAGCTCTCCGTCCACGGTTTCCTTGTTACCGCGGCATCTTGGACACGTCCCCCTCTGTGCCTTAGTCGCTCACGTATCAGAGAGGACGTTGGCCTAGCCCACGGGTGATGCCCACGGGTGACAGCCCGGACCTCCACTCGTACACTTCGGTGAAGTTGAGCGGCGGGCGCAGCCCGGCCAGAGGCAGTGCCCTGCGGCACACGGGGCGGGGGGGGGGGGGCTTCCTGCCGTGGAAACTGAGGCAAGGTGGGGAGAGGAGCGTGCGCCCTCGAGACTCCCGCAAACAGCAAGCGGCAGGTCTCGGGCCCACTGGCCAGGGCTCCCGCCGGTGGTCTCTGCGCAGAGGCCGGGGCCCAGCGCTGCCAGGGACGGGGCGGAGCCGGAGGCCCGGAGACAGTCCAGGACTCTCAGGGGGCGGTGGGGGCAGCGGGGAAACCTCGCGCAATCCGGGCGCTTGAGCGCGGACCCGCGTGCAGAACACGCCTCCGGGCTCCACAGCCCCGGCGGGACAGGCGACTGGGCCACGTTGCCCCGTGCAGACCCGTCCCGGAGCGCCCGCCTCCCGCGCGCGGCCCCGCCCCTCGGCCGCGCCCCCGCCCCCTGGCCACTTCCCCGCCTCCGCCTCCTCGCAGGCCCGGGACGTGCCGGCTGGCGACCGAGCGGCGGGTACGGCGTCCTGCGCACTCACTTCCGCGTCCCGCCGCCCTTCGGCCCGCGCGCGCTCTGCCGCCGCCGCTCTCGGACAATAGGCCACCCGCTCCGGCCCCCGTGAACTTCCTGCCGCCGCCAGACCGGCCCGTGCGCGGAGGACCGCGCTCCCTCTCGGCGCCGGCCAGGATCACAGCCGCGCGGCTGCGACGGTAAGCGGAGGGGACCGAGCGCGCCCGGGACGTGCCTGCGCCTCCGGCCGCCGCGCCTTTGCTCCGGCCGGGCGGTGCGGAGGCTTCTGCACTCTCTGGCCCAGGCGACTTCACCCCGGCCCGGTCCTGCGGCAGCCGCCTTGTGGGCTTCTGCGTTTGGTTGGTTAAGGAGGATGTGATTTTTTTTTTCCTCCTTTCATGATTTGAAAAAGAGAAAAGAACGCACTGTAAGCTGGGACAGGGAAGCGCCACCATCTGCCCCCACGTGGACACTTCCGAGGGGAAAAGAAGTTGGAAGAGAACTTAATCCATCAGGCTCTGAGGCCTCAGCGTGGGCTGGACTGTAAGGCCTGGGGTCATGACTCTCTCTCTGGGCAGGTGGAAGGTTTTACCTGTTCTGGGCTGGACTTGAGTCCCGGTTCTTGGCCAGCACATCCCCACCACCTCCTCCACACACACACACACGCACACACACGCACGCACGCACTCACTCACTCACTAGGGGCACCGGGCCTAGGCCTCCACACCAGTCTGCAACATGGATAAGTACGACGACCTGGGCCTGGAGGCCAGTAAATTCATCGAGGACCTGAACATGTATGAGGCATCCAAGGATGGACTCTTCCGAGTGGACAAGGGTGCGGGCAACAACCCGGAGTTTGAGGAAACACGCAGGGTGTTTGCCACCAAGATGGCCAAAATCCACCTTCAGCAGCAGCAACAGCTCCTCCAAGACGAGACCCTGCCCAGGGCCAGCCGAGGTCCTGTCAATGGTGGGGGGCGTCCGGGCCCCCAGCCCCACCGGGACACTGGTGTGGGCAACAAGCTGACCACAGACGGCGCTGCCAAGCCCCCTCTGGCTGCCTCAGCAGGAGCTCCTGCCGCGGCCGCCACCATCGCCGCTGGGCAGCCCTTGTGCCCACCCCAGGAGCAGAGGGCGAGGCCGTATGTCCGCAGCGCGAGGCCTGGTAGCCAGGACTGTGGTTCCAAGGAGGGCCCGGTGAGCTCTGAGATGTCTGCTTTCCACGGGGTGAGTCCCTGCGAGGATCCTTCTTGCCTCACCCACGGGGACTATTACGACAACCTCTCCTTGGCAAGCCCGAAGTGGGGTGAAGACCCAGGAGCGCCTTCCAGCATCAGGCTGGGTGTAGGGGGTGGGTGGCCTGGCGCCCCAGGAAGTGATCCGGCACCACCCAAACCCTCCAGGGATCCTCACTTATACCAGCCACAGCTCTCCCCAGGCTCCAGCAGGTCGTTTGAGAGCGGCCAGGACAGTGGCGTTGATGGCTGCGGCAGTGAGAAGCCAGCAGCTCTTTGGACCACTGCCTCCTCCCAGTGGGTGAGGCCTGGCCTGCCCTCCCCAGGCCCGGAGAACGGAGCCCTGCTGGGCCCGGCTCAGCCCAGGACCCCTTTCTCAGCGTCGCTGGCCCTGAGCTGCCCCGGTCCGGGAGCTCTTCCCAGAACAAACTCTGGGGTGGGGAGAGAGGTTTCAGGCATGACGCCCAGCCCGAGCGTGCACTCTCAGCCCTGGTTCCAGGAGGGGCCCAAGTCTTACCTTTCTAGCTCTGGGCCGTCGTCCTTGCCAGCCAGCATGGACGGTTCGCAGCTGGGTGCAGCGGCCCCCGGCCTGGGTCCCAAGCCTGGCTGCACAGACCCTGGCACCGGTCCCAGACTCAGCCCCACCAGCCGCATCCATCCAGCGCTGTCCACCCCACCGGAGCTACCTTGTAAAGAAGGTGCCCCTGGCTGGTCTTCGGAGGGCGGCCTGGGGCCTGTGCTCGCAGAGAGCCCCGGCCCCCACAGGGTGAAGCTGCCCTGCCAGACCCTCAGCCCGGGCCCCGAGCCTGGGCCCTCCGCCGCCGAGCTGAAGTTGGAAGCTCTCACGCAGCGCCTGGAGCGGGAGATGGACGCTCACCCGAAGGCCGACTACTTCGGTGAGTGAGAGAGAGGCTGGCGGGGTGGCCCGCAGTGGGCCGTGTGGGGCTGGCCCCAGGGATGCTGCAGCTCTTGGGCCTGTCGTGTGTTTTTTTTGTGTGTGTGTGTTTTTTTGGGGGGTTCCTCTTTCATATGCTTCTTCTGATTCAGAAACTTGAAAGCATCCCTGGGCAGAAAGCGGACCTTGCAGCTGGGGGTCACCCATGTGTAAAGGGTGAAGCAGGGTGGGATTGCGCGTGAGGCTTTCAAATAAGGGAGGTGCCGTGACGCTGGTTTTCAAGGGTTCCAGGTGTGCCTTCGGGCCTCGCGCCGCCTTGGGCTCACTCAGATTCCAGGGCTGGGGTGGGGCAGCTCTGTCCGTCCCGGTGCCCCTGAGCCCTGCATCACAGCTGGCTGGGCCAGGCAGCGCTGGCTGAGAGAGGACCAGTGGTCAGACGGGGGGCCCTGTAGGGCCCTGCGTGTGAGTGTGTGTGTGAGTGTCTGTCTGCCGGACGGTGGGGAGTCGAGACAGGTGTCGCCCTAACATGAAGGAGTGTCCAGAGCAGTGGTTCTTGGTCTCTGGACCAGCCACGTCCTGCCCCCTGGGAACTGGTTAGAATTGCAGCTTATAGGGCGCCACCCCAGACCCACTGCATTGGGAATCGGGGTGAGACTTGGCATTTCCACAAGCCTGACTGACACCCAGGGAAATTAGAGACCCGTGGACTAGGTGCCTCCTGACTCAGCCCCCGCCCCGCACCTGGGGTTCCGGCCAGCCGCCAGGTTGCCGAAAATAGGGTGGAAGATGCTCCTTTCTGGTTTTGCTCAAACTCACAGATTTTTGTTTTATTCTCCTTTTATTTTAAAAACCACAAACTTTTGGAGACCTCTGGCTTCGGCGGTTTTTCCTCCGCGCGGGGCTGGAGGCAGCGGGAGGGTAGCTCTGGTCGGCTGCGGAGTCACGCTGGGGCGGTCTCAGAGGAGACCTGACCGGAGACCAGACTATTTTTAGAGACTTGGAGGGTTGTTTTTGTTTTTTAGGGTTTTTTTTTCCTTCATTTTTGAACTCTGGATGCTGGGGTCACGGTTTCTCCCCTATGAGGCCTGGAAGCTCTGGGAAACTGGGTCCCATCGGGGTGGCTGCTCTGCCGGGTGGAGGGGGGTGGGGACAGGGTGGCCCTGCAGGGGAGGGGCCGGCCTGCTGATTTCAGCCAACCCTGTTCTCCGGGAATGGGCCGTTTTGTCCCGGGGCTGCTTGGCAGCTCGAGGTTCTCGTGGTGAGTGGCACCGTGTCCTCGCTCCTGGCGAGAGTCCCCCGGGGGCCGCGCTCACGCCGCACCGGGCAGGCAGAGGCGCGGTGAGGTTTGTTGGTGTGTGTTTCCGAGCACATGGTGTCATTTTACTGAGGAGCCTCCCTTCTTCTCTGCAAATTCCCCTCTTTGGGAATAGTGCTTAGCTGGAAATTCTATGTTTTTTTTTTTAATTTAAACTTTTGTTTAATTCTTTTTAATAAGTGCAAGTTTATGCAGAGAGTCACAGAGGCAGAAGCGGGCTCTGTAGAAGAAATGGGCTCGGGAAGCAAGTCTCGGAGGCAGAGGGAGGGCCCTTGGAGCGCAGAGAGAAGGGCAGAGGTGATGCACCTGGAGGGAGGAGGGGGAGGGGTCGGGAAAGGGGGGGGTGTGCTCCCGAGGGGGGTGCTCCCTCTCTCATTTATTTCAAGCTCCTTACACAGCAGAACCCCAGTTTGACTTTCTCAGGGAGGCATGTTTCCGCTCGGATCAGAGCGCAGTTATTAGCGAACGCCATTCATTCATTCATTCATTCATTCAACGCGTTCACTGAGCACCTCCCCGGGGCCATGCTCCGTTCCAGGTCCTGGGGTACCGAGTGAGCGGGTCCAACTGAGGCTCTGCCTCCCCAGGCAGAAACTGTGGAGACAGGTGATGAAGAAAATAAACCAGCCGGTTTTCAGGGAGAGAAGGAAGTAGAGAGGGGAGGAGCTGCAGGGCAGCGCGGGGGAAGGGGGCCACAGGGGGCCAGTTTTAAATCAGGTGTGCAGGAAGGGCCCGGCCACAGGCGGCCTTCGGGAGGAGGCTTGAAGGAGGCGAGACGGTGGGCATGTGTCTGTCTGGGGCTCGGGCTTACTCAGCAGGGCGGACAGCAAGAGCAGCGGCCGGCGGGGCTGGGCCGTGCCAGGCGCTGAGCTAGACCCTGGACGCGGAACATTTAATGTACTCGTCACAGCAGCCCTCGGAGGAGGGCTCTGTCGTCAAGCCCGGCTGCATGGAGGAGGAAGCCGAAGCTGGGGGTGGGGGCATGTCACGTTCCTTATCCGAGGCCTCACAGGTGACGCCGGGTGTGGCCGGGATCGCGCCCCAGGGTTCGGCCCAGCCGGGCCTCTCACCAGCATCACCAGGCAGCACCCCCCCCACCCGCCCCAACCAAGCTCAGATGTGAGAGGCGCATTCATTCTTTTTAGTTCACGGCTTTAAAATAATTGTGGTGAGCTTCACGTGACAGAATTAACCATTTTGAAGTGAACAGCTCAGAGGCATTCAGTACGTTCAGTACATTCGTCGTGTTGGGCAGATGCCACCCTGTTCACTTTCGGAACCTCTCTTTGCCCCGGAGGGAAGCCCGCACCCAAGCCGTTGTCTCCCGTCTGCCCCTGTCCCAGCCCCCCCCCCCCGCCCCCCACCAGCCACCAGTCTGCGTCCTGCTGTGGGTGCGCCTGCTCTGGATAGTTCGCGTAAAGGGAACCGCATTTATTTTTTAGACTGTGTTATTCACATGTAGACAATTCAAAAGACGTAAAAACACGTGCTGCAAACGATGCATCTTCCTCCTACCCCCATTTCTAGCTGGGTGTCCTGAGTGTAATGAATTTTCAGCTGCCGGTGACGGTGCTGGCGTGTTGTCACCTGCTCTTTGCCTTCGCCCTGAACGGTGCGTCTTGGCATTTGTTCAGTGTCGGCATGCCTTCAGCTGGCTCAGCGTCACCCCCGCGCGGCTGTGCCCCGGGTCACGTAGGCAGCGCTCGCTCGGGGAAGACTGCGAAAGGGGCCAGCTGCAAGGTGCCGGCAGGGCTATGGGGCGAGCTTCCGGGGTGGGGTTGTGGGGCTGGGGGCTCTGTGCCCTCCACGTGCTGCCTGGTGGCTTTGTTGGGGGCTCGTGCTGGGGAGCCCACTGTGCCCACCGCCCACCGCGGAGGAAAGGGCCTGCCCCATGCCCGGTGGGGCAGTGAGCCTCCCTCCGCTCCAGTGTGACCGGCCGTGTGGCGGAGGAGAACACCTGTCCCTGTCCTCTGAGCACCTGGCAGTCACTCCCGGCCCAGCTCCTGCTGTGGGACCTTGCGCGAGCCCTGCTGTCTTCCCGGCCTGCCCGCTCCCGGGGTGCAAGGAGGCTGGACCAGCCCCAGGTGTGGTGCCGCTCGATACAGAGTTTGTCCGCCCAGCACACTGCCCGTGTTAAGTAGGGATGAAAGCGTACTTCCAAGCGGAAGGATATCTACGATACGGGGCTCTAGCCAGAGAGAGAAAGGCGCCGGCGGTCGGAATCCCAGCCAGGAGCAGAGCAGAGGAGGCGTTGGGGTTGCTGCCGTGGGCCCCTTCCCGGGGCAGGGGAAGGTGTTCCTGTGGCCGCCGTGGGTGGGGCTCGGGACCCCTGGCCGCCGCCTTGGAGAACACCGAGGGCTGCAGACACCTCGGTCTCTGGTGATTGGCCCGCCCGTCCCCAGGGGCTCTTCTGGCACGTTCCGTGGCCGTCTCTGTAGTGTAGTACAGGCTGGTCCTAGGGGGGCGTTTCTCCCTCTTTCCTTCTCCAGGATTCCTCCTTGTGTCTTTCTGTCCACGAGGAGAGAGTTAAGGACAGGCTTTGCTGCTAGGAGAACAGCGTCGTTGGGCTTCCCGCCTTCCCGGGCCTCGCTCTTGGAGGACGCCCCCCCCTCCCGCCGCCCTGAGGACCACACTGGCTTCCGTTGCACGCCGCTGTTTACACCGCGGAGGAAGTGAGGAGCGCGTTGTGCCTTTTGTTTAGCCCTTCCCGCCTTTTCCTCCACGGTGTCCACTCGTTGTCCACTGGTCTTCCTCACGCTGGGCCTCGCCTCCCGTCCTATGGAAAACGACGCAAACACGCCACCTGCCCCAGGCTGGGTTTCCTAGGGGGCTGAGTTTGAGACAGAGCTCAGTGCGTGGGGGGGTTGCTCCTGGGACCCCTTCCTGCGAAGGCAGGGGGAGGGGAGAGTGTCAGCCGCCACACCAGCCTACACCCCAGGCCGATCCAGCTGCCCCCAAGGCCAGGCGCGGTGGTAAATCCGAACCCGGTGCTGAAGGAGGGGGTGGCAGAAGGTCATCAGCCCTCCGGCTCTGTCTGCGCAGCCGGTGTGAGCAAATGCCGTCGCCGGGGAGTCCACCTGAACTCTTTTGGGAGACATCGCTCCGTGACTTCGGTCCGGGCGCCCATTGCCGTGCAGGTGAAGTTCCGATCCTGCGGCAGCATCTGTCAGTGGCACCCACGGCCTCAGCTCTGGCCGGCCAGCCCTGCAGTGCACACCCGAGACAGGGCGACACCCAGCCCTTTGGAAATCGCGTAAGCTACGTGCGTTTTGTTTTTGTTTGTTTTAGTGGACCAGGTCATCATCCCCTTAAAATAGAAGGGTGTGTGTTTTTTAGCTTTTCATTGATGTGTAACATACATGTTGTAGATGTTCACAAAGGGGGCGCACCCCCACGGCCTGCATGAGGCCAGATTGAGATGCGGGACATGCCCAGCACCCGAGAAGCCCCACCGCGCACCCCTTGGAGTCACCGCAAGCCTTGAAAGATAACCATAGCAAGAAAGAAAAGTTATCAGAAAGATAACTTCTGACCACAACCACGAGTTTTTAAGCAATGGTGTGATTCGAAGTAACTTCTGAAAACTTAAGCAAGTTTTAAAGCATTTCGAGGCAGGTTTGGGGAGGAAGGGACAGCGTGTGGGTGGTCGGGGCGCAGCCCCGGCTGCAGAGAGCGAGGAGGCGGTG